AGAAAATATTCCCAAATAGGGCATGCCAATAATATCCCGCATGAACTTGCTGGATCAAATGCTTTACGTAACCCGAATTGCTCATGATCATTATACCACTTTGTGTTAATATTTCGCTTTGCATCTAAATGAACAGTTGTCGTGTACTTTAGTAGATTCTGGGTCCATTTGGATGAGCTGTACAATAGACATGTACATTTATTTAACAGATGTTCATTACTGAATGAAGGAAACGAAATTGATTTTGTGTATAGTTTAACTAATTTAAAACTAGCTTACGTGAAGCCGGCTTTGAATAATTGTTCTAAAACAATATACCAAAATTAATAATTGACATTATACAACTTTTTCTCATATACTTCCAGAAACATTTAAAGCTTTATCAATATGCATGCTAACATTAGTTATTTGATAAGACTGAATAAGGTTACATTACCTAATGAACGATCTCGACTGGTTCCGGTGTTAAAATAGGATTATCTGTACTTGTAGTGGACTATACCTCTGCAGTTGTATTTAACATTCGGTTGAAGAAGGCTACAGTGGTAAATGGCAATACTATGTACCCCCGAATTGTAACAGATATAGTTGCCTTTTAAATTTGGTACAGGTACAAATATAGCTGGTAGCCTTTCGTTGACTTTCTTGCAGAAGCTGCTACTGACAGTTATTGGTGTAGTTTGCTTTTTCTTACTTACTGTCTCAGCTAAGCAGATATAATTGCTAAAAATTAAACTTAGAATTTTGTAACACAATATAAATATGAATTTGTATATATATATTAATATTTAATATTTCAAGTTAGAAACCTAGTGACAAAATGTGATCTCCCCTGTAAACACTGAAAACTAGATCTTTTTCAATGTTTGTCCCGTTTATCCAGGACGCTACCAATTATAAATAAGTTGAAATAGAAACAAACTTCCATTTAATGTTATTTCCTTCTGTAAATAGCAAACGCCAAGTGCGACAAGCTATAGGAGCTTCATATAAAATTGGTTTAAAATGCTGCTATGCAAATAAATTCCTGGAACTCAAACTTCAATCTATTTTCTACTGGCTGTATACCTCTCTGTAATATGCTAATCACCCGGATATCTATGCAGCTAAATCAGAAAAGTTCAGGGGGAAATTCTAAAGGAAATGATTGATATACAGCAAAGATTAATACTTTGAAAGCAAGCCACTAAGCAAATTCAAACGGACTTTATCGTGATGTAAACATTGAATATTCATCGATCGAAAAGACCGCAAATACATGTACAAAAATCAAGACGACCTTTCTTGAAATTGTATAAATTTTTTAAAAAAGATGCCTACCTCATCAAAATATTTAGCTTTAATTTTGTTTTTGTTTTTGACCTGGACAGACAAGCTATTCACGAAAAAACAATGTCTTTATCAAATGCTCACGTGAGAAGAGCAGACTGGTGTACTCAAAACATATAAAGATGTAAAAACAAAGTACATTTTGGCAAATTGTAACGTGCTTATGACTTTGTGGAACACTTCGAAAATGGGGGACCTGAAAGATCTTTAGATTTTAAATGTGTAGGATCAATATACAGCAAAGATTAAAATTTTTTAGAATTCAGTTTCACAAGCTTCTAATTCAATTAGCTCATCAATACTGATGTTTTTGCTTGTCAACAAAAATTACGATTAATGGCTTCTAAGGTCAAGACATTGGTCACGTGACAAAAGGTCAGAGTTTTGGTAAACGTGCATGCCACGTGTTTTTTTTTTCTCGTATCGTCTTATTTGTACTCGTACATTAATAAAAATCAAAGTGTTCAAATCTTGAGTGAATAAGCTTCATTATTCTTGATAGATCTATATACATTTTGAAACCGAGATTGTCGCTAGCTCACCGAATTGCAAATATACTTATAATGAAATCATGAAACAAATTACTAAATGAATGCAAGATTTGATAAGAGTTAATAATCACAAACAACTCATCCGTAAATATGAATAATATCAAACAAATAAAATTTCTCTGACTATATGATGTAGGTCATCTTCGCAGTTAAAAATTGCAATCACAGGCTTGTTTTTTTCTCTTTTAAATACACGTTTAAGTGTCCTATTAAAAATCTATATCAGCCCAGTAGTAGGTTTTCAATCCTGTGTTGATCAGCCGGTAGTGAATCTTGAAAACTGATAAAAAAAAAATTAATTCATTGCAATAGTTACAACACGAACAGCAAAATTTAAACATTTGCAGAATTATATTATAATAAATATTAGGTAGATAGATTAATAATTATTTAGGCTGTGACCGGTTGTTTGTTCAATTGTCTCCTGCCTTCCTCCTTGGATCCAAATTGAAAAAGGCTCGTTACGTCAGATTTAAAGGTTCAGTAACCACCAATGAGATTATGGTATAAATGTATACGTAAACTCACTAATAACCAAACAAAACATATAGGGTACAGCGCACCGTGATAACTGAATTTAAGTACAAGACTTAAATTCTATTATTTGGACTTTCGCTAACTTACGAATCTTCAGATCATATCATTTTAAAGAATTTTATTTCTTTTTGTAATGGTTTTCTTTTCATTTCTATAATCCACAATATGAGAATTAAGTATTCAAATATCTGCAAAGGCATTCAAAATTTTATGCAGACCATGTTTAAGTTTAAAGTTTTAAGTTCTAATATCGATTTTTGAATTTTTTTGGTGGAAATTCGAAAAATAAAAAAATACGAAAAATAAAAAAATGCAAAAAAAAAAATAAAAAATAAAAATGGCGTATTTGCCTTAAATCAATGGTTTTGATAATAAAATAACAGTCTGAAAATATTAGACCAATTGGGCAATTATTTACCTTGGAACAGTGTATCCAATTTCATTATGTATGGAGAATACATTGACTTGTATCGTTTCTTTTGTGGACTTTGTGTCTTTAAGTGGTATTTCGGGAGAGATCAAAAACTAGTATTTATGAATATATGTTAATGGATTATGAGTGATTTTCGTTTGATAAATCTTGGATGTAGAATCGTCTGAGAAAAATGAGATGGTACAACTACAATGAATTTCCAGGTATATAACACTCTAGTATATGTTATTTAACTATTAAGGGTGTGCTCGATTATAAATCATATCTGAAACAAAATATGATTCTACATTTCAAACCATTCTTTTAGATTAAATAAAATTAAACAACAGTGTTTCATGTTTCATGCATAACCGAACATTTTGTTCGTTCCCTTTTATCAGAAAGGAGGCAAAGTTTTAGAGAAAAAAAAACAAAAACCGCGTGATTAAAACATTTCTAGATTGCGTTTTGTATGTCTTTTACTTAAGTGGAAATCTACTTTTTGATTTCATTTAAATATTTCAAGATTAACACCGTCATTTGCACTGCCGATATAACAATTATATTTGCCAATGGCCATATAACAACAGTGAAGGAATTCGATAATGTTTCGCGTTTCTGTTGAAAACTGAATAAAATCCCGCAATAACGCAAGCCTTATCTAAATGTTATCTACACCCCCTCAAATTCTATTCATTAGCACTATCATATTCAAATTATAACAACAACGAAAAATCAAATAATATACCGAATACGCCATTTTCACCATTTCAGTTTCTTGAACTATTTATTGTATTTAACCAAAATATTATTGTAGAAACTGAGTAATATTTCTTTTTTAATGAACATATTAAAATGGAACAAACGATTTTTGCTGTACAAAATCAGAATAAAACACTTTAAATTTCAAGCAAATGATATCTTGAACGGTAAAATTAAAAGCAAAACTGTAAGTGAAATATATTTTTCTCTAATTTTTTCTTATTGAAAAATGTTAATGTGTTCAATATTACAAATGAATTCAACTGAGTTAACACATTTGATATTTTGTAGATGCACAGAAGAGGAATGGCACTCAATGGAAAATATACGTTTTTACCCGCATGGATACTATCCGTGTCAGAAATTCAGCCAAGATTTGCATCGGAAAACAAATTGTTGATAATGTTGTGGAATTTTAGTGAAAACGATGCTATATATTATACGATGGAATTACGACTCGCAAATAAAAGCTGTTTATTAATAATGAGATATTTGGTGTTCATTGTATTACTACGATACCAATTCAAAAAAAAAAAATATCCAGCATAAACCGTTTTAGTAAGTTTCTATCTTCATTCAATATCGCATTACGTCCTTTAAAATTATTTTCATTGGTGAACACTTTTTGAGAAAGTTCCCATGGAAATACCTAAAGGGCAAAACGTCCGGATGAATGAAGATGAACAATAAAAAATAACTCTCCATTCCTGAAAACTAATGGAGAGTTTGAACAAAAGATTTACGTCACAGGTGTATTTTACCATTATATCACGTTGATAGGAACAATATAATCATGATTATGGATAAATTCTTGAATTCCATTAGGGTATGCTTACAAATTATAACCAGCTTCACTTTTAGCTTTTGGTGATATTTATTATAAGTTGTTCTTTTTCCCAAATAGTATTTATGTATGTGGACTTTTTCGTGATGTTTAGGAGTAGTGGTTCTATAATTTTATTATTTTGTATCAATATTAACCGGATACGAGAATAATGAATATAAGTTAACATATTTCACAATACACAACTCCTTGTTGTCAGAGGAATTTCAAATATCAGTATCGTCTCATCTTATTAGTATTTGTATAGTCTTTCTTTCTAAAGAAAGTGCGACAATGTTTGACTGATAATTTTCCTATTGTAGATTAATGGTTACTTTGGCAAGCAAACCTTTAAATGGATGCTATGGAAATATAATTCACAAGTATATTGAAGATTAAGACTTTATAAACATTGTAAGTGTTAGCTTTGTCGCCATTATATCATTTTTTATCGTCCTGATCATGCATGAAATACTTGTTGGATGTTAATCAACCAACAATCTGTCAATAGATATTATTTTATAGTAGTTAATCGTTATAAGGCACAATAAAAAAAACTATCAAACAGACTGGAAATACATCTTTACTTGCAAAAACTTTCAAACAGATAAGACATACAGTTTAAATCGCATAAAACTTTCTAACAAATTAGAAATACAGTTTTAATGCTAATAAAGTTTGTAAATAATAATTTCTCTTGTCATTCTTCTTGGAACTAGATATTACCGTTTTCCACCTGGTGCACTATTGCAACAGACACCAGTCTCTGAAATAATTTATATATTTTAAAAGATATTACATCATATGTTTGTTCGCTGTCTTTTTTACTGTAAAGTAACTGAATATATTGAACTACAGTAGAACAGTAACATTATAATTTTTTATTGTATTTTCACTCAATATTTCAACTTGCTTTTTAATTTGTTTGATTTAAAGTGTGGTTACTTGATTGTTTTTCTGCTTACCTCAATCAGCTCATATCAAGTGCAAGCTAAGAAATCATTGAGTCCATTATTATAAAACAATTAAATTCCTGTTTAGAAGAGTGTGCTAATGATTTTTTGCCATCTAGTTCCATTTCGAGTTAAAAGGTACGAACGAAATGAAACCTACAAGAGAGGCGAAATATACTAAGAGACATTCAAAGTCATAAGTCGAAAATAAACTGACAACGCCATGGCAAACAAAAAGAAAAAGACTAAAAGACAAACAACAATATACAAAACACAAGATAGAAAACTATAGACTGAGCAACACGAACACTACAAAAAACCTGGTGTGATCTCAGGTGCTTCGGAAGGGTAAGCAGATTCTGCTCCACATGTTACAACACTTTCATGAAATTAGAATTCTATCATCAAGTGGTTGTGATATTACTCTAATTTCCTTTTTTCGTATCCTCCTTTTTTACTTGAGTTACACATGTGGTGTACGAAGGCCCTCATGTACTTTAATCATTGGAAAACTATTTATTGATCTTCAGACCATATATCTTTTTTCATGCGGGATCTTTAGTCAAATTAACGAATATCTTAAACGATATAGATGTTTTGATAAAAAAAATGTTCCTTATTTCATAAATTACTTTTAACGCATGTAAGGGTCGCCTTTTGCCATGTGAATCCGTCTTCACATACATGTACACAAGTATTCAGCTGATCATCATATACAGTATCTCCTGGACATATTATAGGCATACCTGAAAAATATATTCTTGATTATCATTTTCAACAGAGATATTTCTGATTAACACAACATTATTCAACTATGACAATTAATTAAAAAAATATGATGTAACATAACAGACCATATGTTGACGTTTTTTTTTTTTTTTTTTGCTATTGTTTAGTGGATATCTCAATGAAACTTTCCATATATTTACTTTAATTAATATTATACAAGTCGTGTATCTTGCAAGGTTCTTGAATGTCATGTTCTGATCCTGTCGCTTATAACCCACGTTTACACATCTCGGTTGATACGTTACGTACGTGTTCGTGAATGGTCAGATTTTACTTAACAGGGATGTGCTAATAATGCAAATAACTAATCTAGCAGGATAATGTCGAAGAACGACTGAAATCTATCCTACTCATGATTCCACATTTCTGGTCAACGTAACAAAAGAAATTGGTGGACTGACTCACGAGAGATATGTTGTACTGATATTCGATCTTAAAATATCCGAAAAGTAGAGTTGGCTAGTCTGCCATTTCATCGATTATGTGCTATTCCCTACTGTACAATTTGACTAGATTCGCATTGTGGGTGATGATGCATACCAGGAGACGCTCCCATGTACCCCTTTGAGTATACCCTAGTATGATATAAAGGAGATGTGGTATGATTGCCAATGAGACAATTCACTACCAGAGACCAAATGACATAGAAGTTAATAACTATAGGTCTTATATGGCTTTCGACAATGAACAAGACCCATACCGCATAGTCAGCTATAAAAGGTCCAAAACTGACAAATGTAAAACAATTAAAACGAGAAAACTAATGGCCTGATATGTGTACAAAACAATGAACGAAAAACAAATATGATATATACAGCAACAAACGACAACCACTGAATTACAGGCTCCTGACTTGGGACAGGCACATACAGAATGTGGCGGGGTTAAACAAGTTTGCGGGCTTGCAATGCAGTCACCAAAATAGCTGGTATTATATACATAAAAAATATACTTCCAAACATTCGCTGAAGAAAGTTCTTGTAACTAGTATTCTTACAACCATTTATGATATCGCTTTGATATATATACTCATGAAATCGGTAGTTTTTTTCCGATGACACCCAATTAATGAAAATAAACATATTATCAACCGAAAATTGCAGTTATAAAAAGAATTTTTGTCTGCTCTTAAAATCGCTACGACCAAATCTTATATGTTTAAAGATATATTTATGCGGCTGTTGAGCTTTCTTGATTTACCTTCACTAGAAATGTTCAGGACCACATTTTTGAAAGCTAAGGAAATATATGTCCTGAAACACGTGATGAGCTATATGACCAAACGCGACTTAGAAAAAAATGGCAAAATCCATCTATGGTCAACTTTGCCTGAATGATTTTGAACCTTAGTTTCCAAATAATTTCTAAATTTATAAATTGACAATTTCAGAAAAGTATGTTACATATCAATGCCGCACCGAAACACGGACTACTGAGGTGCTGATACTCTCGTGAACCTATTGTCTACCATCAGCGGTATCGACCCAGTGCTTTAAAGGGAAATCACACTATTGTTTATACGCATCGCTCTCGGCGGCGCTATAGTGTCGTGACCGTATTTTGACGTCGCCGTTTTCGAGTCCGTCGTAAAGGTTGCTAATTTCTAAAATGGCGGCCCGCTCAAAGGGGCGTTCACTAAAGCAGGAGAAAGCAAATGACGTTTTTTTTTATTTAAGTGCAAAAATGAAAATGCTACTCGAAACGGACAAAATATATGACAAAAAAATAGCCGAAAGTGGTCTTGATATGGTCTTGATATGAATTACCTTACGATTAGTTTTATTTAAATGAGTTACTCTCTTTAAATGAAGATATTATTATTATTATTATTATTATTATTATTATTATTATTATTATTATTATTATTATTATTATTATTATTATTGAGTTAGTATTTATATACAATACCATTTATACAATTATTTTTCTTAAAGGTTTATTAATTTCACCGAAAAATACTGTTAGATATGAGAAATATCAACATTTTCTGTTGATCTGGTCTTTATTATTTGTAGCGAAATCCGTCAGCTCAACTTTTTTTGTAGAAAAACTTTTTTTATTTACTGTAAAGTTTATATTTTCATATATTAACATATTTATTGATCTAGCAGATTTCTTAGTTTCACGAAGAAAAAAAAATATTTAAAAACAAAAGAGATATTTATAACACTTTTTGTCGATCATTTAAGTATAATCAAAGCGTACATCGGAGAATGTGAAATCCGTCCGGTCAACTTTTTTTGTTAGAAAAACATTTTGTTTTACTATAAAGTTTAAATTTTCATATAAGATAACTGTTAATCTCGCAGATTTCTTAGTTGTATGAAAAAGTATTGTAAAACAAAAGAGATATTACTAGTAACACTTTTTGTCGATCAGTTCAATTATATGTAAAGCGTACATCAGTGAGTGTGAAATCCGTCCGGTGAACTTTTTTTTGTTAGATTTTCATAAAATATAGTCTAGCATTTCTAAGGTCTTCAAATATTAAAATGATCTATCAAATAACAAAAACGTTCTGACTATTTATATCTCATCCGGTCAATACGGGCAATTGTCCTGTCATTAGTGTAACCCAACTGTTGGCAGCGTATAGTCGCTATACCATACTGAAACATAAATGTGATAAAAGAATATACAATTCAAGAAAGAGAGGTGCACCAACAGAAAATAGAAACTGCAATATTTCTTTTAATTTCATCGGATCTCAAAATTTTAACTCTTACCAGAATTTATTCTAACTTACAGTATAACTCGGAAGTTTCTAAGTGGAACTCGAGCCTTAACTAGAACTCTTACTCGAATTAACATTCGAACTAAAAATAAAACTGGAACTTTAACTCAAAATTTAGCTGGAACTCGAACTCTTATTCTACCAAAGGTTATCCACACTCTCATTTGTCATCTGATAAAAAAATTCGTAAGGGTTCCACGGCACCCAGTGTCTCGCCTACTTTTGCTGTTAATCGCAGGCTCAACAAAAATGAGGAAAAAAATCAATAAAAATATTCCTCTCGATACTATCGTTTGATTGTAAGAAGCTTCTGTCCAAGTTTGGTATAAATATAGGATAGTTTATGGATCTAATAAATGTTTTAAAAACTTTAACTGCACACTATATGTAATGTTAACTGGAAGAAAAACTAAGTCCATTTATAAGTAAAATACGGATAAACAGGTACAAAATTTTGACAACATTTCCTTCGAGATACAAGCTATTGATCATAAACAAGCTTCTGTCCAAGTTTGGTACATATCCAGGATAGTTTAAGAAAGTTATTAAAATTTTAAAAACCTTTACCACAGAGTGAATGTATTGTTTCCTGGCAGAAAAACTAAGTCAATTTATAAGTAAAAACGGAAAAAATAGATTTTTTTTTTACAAAATTTACTTCTGGGTACTATGTTATGATCATAAACAAGCTTCTGACCAAGTTTGGAAGAAATCCAGGATAGTTTAAGAAAGGTATTAAAACTTCAAAAACTTTAACCACAGAGTGAATATTTGTGGACGCCGCCGACGACGACGATGACGACGCCGACGACGGAATGTAGGATCGCTATGTCTCGTTTTTTCAACTAAAGTCGAAGGCTCGACAAAAAACTAGAGTTAGATGAAATATATCAACATGTCCACAGAAACACGGATAGATGTAGCAGAACAAGAAAAAAAACTAGATCCGTTTAACTAGGCTGAAGCTAGCGAACAATAACTAGCGAACAATAAGCCAGCGAACAATTAGGCGATATATCTAAAAACCGAAAAAATGAATAAGACATCAACGGCCGTTAAATGAAAAATATTTAAAAAGGAAGAAATTCCGTCCAAATATTGCAATTTCAACTCTATCATGAAATGGTATTTATCCCATCCATTGATAAAACTAGTCACATCTCTTTTTAGGCTAATATTCAGTACCACATTAAATCTGCATCTGTCAACTGATTATTTGTAGGTGTAAGACTACCAATGCACCCACTTCAATTTAGAACGTATGTAAAAGTAGTCCTGTAACATATAGCACCTTTGATGTCATTGTTTAATTGAACTAAGATACACATTTGCAGAAATGGGGGTTGGCCTATTCCATGGCTTCTAGAGAAAAATAATGAGGGGTGTCACGGGGTATGACTATATAGGTCTTGTAGAAGAGAAACAGGCGCATCTTTTGCGCAAGGTATCGAAGGGCGCTATGTTCAAAAATCTGAAACTAAAGCTCAAAATTTGAAGAAAAAAAAATGTTAAAGACAGTGGGGGGTTGGCCTATTCCATGGCTTCTAGAGAAAAATAATGAGGAGTGTCACGGGGTATGACTATATAGATCTCGTAGAGGAGAAACAGGCGCATCTTTTGCGCAAGGTATTGAAGGGCGATATGTTCAAAAATCTGAAGCTAGAGCTCAAAATGTGAAAAAAAAATTGTTAAAAACAGGGGGGTTGGCCTATTCCATGGCTTCTAGAGAAAAATAATGAGGGGTGTCACGGGGTATGTCTATATAGGTCTTGTAGAAGAGAAACAGGCGCATCTTTTGCGCAAGGTATCGAAGGGTGCTATGTTCAAAAATCTGAAACTAAAGCTCAAAATTTGAAAAAAATTTGTTAAAAAAAGGGGGGGTTGGCCTATTCCATGGCTTCTAGAGAAAAATAATGATGGGTGTCAATGGGTATGTCTATATAGGTCTTGTAGAGGAAAAATAGGCCGCATCTTTTGCGAGAGGTATTGAAGGGCGCTATGTTCAAATATCTGAAACTAGGCCTCAAAATTTGGAAAAAAAAGTTAAAAACAGGGGGTTGGCCTATTCCATGGCTTCTAGAGAAAAATAATGAGGGGTGTCACGGGGTATGTCTATATAGGTCTTGTAGAAAAGAAACAGGCGCATTTGCGCAAGGTATCGAAGGGCGCTATGTTCAAAAATCTGAAACTAGAGCTCAAAATTTGAAAAAAAAAGTTAAAAAC